TCTATTCTATTCTATTCTATTCTATTCTATTCTATTCTATTCTATTCCATTGAACTGCACTGCACTGCATTGCATTCGTTTCCCACCACCAAAAGAACCAAAAAACATTTACTTTACATAGATCAGGATTTATTTAGATCGGAGGTAAAAACTTTATTTTGAGATAATTCCGGGGTACGTTCAGCCCTGCCATCGGGCAATATCAACCAACTGAACAACAAACTCAGACGCCCAAAACCCCTTCGCAAAAAAAACCATTGCCAAAAGCTGGCTTGAAGCGCGCGCGCGCGCGCGCATGCGCAAACGAAACCAAAAGCGGCGCGCTTCTTCCCCCTCCCCTTTCCTTCTGGGGATAGCCACGCCTCCTTCTCGGGCTGCGCGCGCCACCGGTGGGAGGTGGGAGGGGGCGGGCGATGACTGGCCGACCAGGCCCCGCCTCCCGCCCCGCCTCCTTTCACAGACCTGTCCCAAGATGGCGGCTGGCAGTAGCGACGAGGAGGACGAGGACCTGGTGACCGTCGGGACCCCGCTGGAGCTGCTGGAAGAAGGTAAATCCGCCTACTCGGTCCCTTGCCCTCTAGACCTCTTCTTGTTGTTATTTTTTTTTTGCGGGGAGAGGCGAAGAAAAGGAGGGATGGTCTCCCTGCCGACTCTTTTTTTGAGAAACAGCCTGGACCCCTACAGACGTTGTTCCCCAAGTAGGTCATAATCATCAATGCTGATGGGGATCTATGTTCCCTGGTGGGTCTTTGGGGTCCTTGGTGCTGCTCTGTGAACTTGGTGGGCTTTTTTTTTTTTTGCAGACGTTTCATTACCCTACTAGGTAACATAATCAGTGCTGGAAGAAAGGAGGGTTTGCAGGGGTGGAGAAAGATTGTGGGGTCTTTGGTGCTCTCTGAGCTTGGCTGCTCTTTTTTTTTTGCAGACATTTCATTACCCGACTAGGTAACATCATCAGTGCTGGAAGAAAGGAGGGTTTGCAGGGGGTGGAGAAGGATTGTGGGGTCTTTGGTGCTCTCTGAGCTTGGCTGCTCTCTCTCTCTCTTTTTTTTTTTTGCAGACATTTCATTACCCGACTAGACTCAGAATAATTTTATTGTCACTTTAACATGTAGACAAATCGGCATACATTAAAATAAAACTTGGTTGCATGCAGCTCTCAAAGGGTCACCACCTCCAATATACATTATATAAACATGACGAAAATATAAATAAAACATAAAAAAATTATGCACTCGGTAACATCATCAGTGACATCAAAAATTATGAGTAGGTGTAGAAGAAAAGGGGGCATGCAGGGATGGGGGGGACTGTGTGGTTTTCTGTACTCTCTGAGCTTACTTGTTGTTTTTTTGCAGACATTTCATTACAGGATTAGGTAACATAATCAGTACTAGAGGGGGTGGGGTTTTCTCCACCTTTCTATGCAGTAATTAACCCTACTGGTGGAGTGGAGTGTTTTCCTTGATTGTTTCTTGATTAGGGAATTGCTTCCTGCTTGATTGTTGTCTCTCGTGTTGGCACCTGTGCCCTCCTACAGCTTCTGCAGTGGCAGGGCCTCCCTCTTCCCTTCTGCCTGGGCCAAGGAGTTGTAGTGTGGGGCACTTGGAGGAGCCCCAGATTGGGGAAAGTCTGTTGCATGGGATTCTCAAGATCCTCCTGGAAGCTCTTTGCCAATGGGGGAGGAAGGAGGCTGGGAGAGGGGAAAAATGGGGCATAAGGAGAATTGGGAGGGGGG